CGGCGGAGGGAAGGTGAGCGGCCCCGGGCCGGTGGGGGGGGGGGGGGGGGGGGGGGGGGGGGGGGGGGGGGGGGGGGGCGGGCAGGAGCTCCGGCGGCGGCGCCGAGTCCAGCCTCCCGCAAACAATAATGAGGATAAACCCGGAGCCGGCCGGCCGCGCTCCCGCCGCCCGCGCCGTGACCGCCCGAGCCCGCCGGGTCGGGTCGGGTCGTGCCGTGTCGGTGCGGCGGCAGCGGCGCTTCCCCGCAGCCGAGGCGGCGATGTCGGCGGCACCGAGCGAGGCTGCCCTGCCCTGCCCTGCCGCCCAGGCCGTGCCCCGGCTGCCCTCCGCCGCTGCCCGGCCGGGCGCAGGGGCGGCGGGCGCTGGCGGCCCGGGGGCGGGGGCGGTGTGCGGGGCGGCGGGGTCGGGGCGGGGGGCGCGGCGGCGGGGCCGGCAGGGTAGGCCGGGGAGCATTGTGCTGGCTGGGGCCAGCGGGCGGGCGGCAGCGCCGAGGAGCCCGGCGGGGACCGAGCTGCCGGCACGGAGGGTCCCGGGGATGGGGGCGGGGGGGGGGACACGCCGCAAAAGTAAGGAGGGAAAGGCGGGCTGGTTCGGTGTTCCCCGGCGGAGTTGCCCCTCACCCTTTCGCCGGCAGAGAAGCCGCTCTGAAACCCTGATCCCGGAGGCCTCAGACACTTGGAACCTTCGGGGGGGTTGCGGGCGCGGTGCGGGGTCGGCACGGCCGGAATAAAAAGCAGCGGGCATCATCCCCCCCGGCCGGCCCCGCCGCGCTCGCCCGCGGCTGCTGTGGAGTTCATCGCATCCCTCCCCTGAGCATCCTCCCCCCCTCCACAACCATTTCGGTCCGTGCCAACTGCGGGGACGGGGGCGATGTGAACTTTGTGCGGCGCGGCACGTACGGCGCAGACAGGGCAGAAATGCCCCCCGGTGCTGCGGGGCGGGGGCAGGGCAGGGCAGGGGGCGCGGGGCGGGGGCTGCGGCACCGGCACACGCCGGGACGGGGCCGCGCCGGAGCCATTGGCCACCCGGAGCCATCAATCACCGGGGGGCGAGCCCGGCGCCCCGCGGGGCCGCGGCCGGGGCGGCCCGGGAGCCGGCGGCGGGCGGAGGTGGGGAGCGGCCGGGAGCCCAGGTACCGGGGGTCGGGGCGGGGGAGCGGCGGGGTCCGGACCCCGCTTCCTCCGGCGGACTCGATGGGCAGCTGGAGCCCGGAGTTGTCCGCAAACTGCGACGCAGCATCTCGGGGAGCGCGGGGCCGCTGGCGGATCCCCGCGGGGCCGGGGGCGCCCCGGGAGCTCCGGGGCAGCGGGGCCGAGGCGCGGCCCCGGGCGGGAGCAGCGCGCCGTGTCCGTGTCACCGCGCCGGCACCGTGCGCGTATCGACAGAAGGTGTTGACACGGGTTAACCCTTCCCGGCTCCTGCCTTTCAGCATTTTCTGCGGCAGCCCGAGCCCAGCTAGAGGCAAATTTTTGAAATTCAGATGAGGAAGGCGTAAATATTTTATTTGGGGAAATGGGTTTTTCGCGTGCCTTCGTGTGCATGTACATACGCAGAGCTCTTGTGAGTGCTTCTCCGTGCAATGCAATGTTATATTGAAAATGACTTACCTGTGCAGATTTCGTGGCGGTTTTTTGACAGGACGGCAGTGTCCGGGTTTACAATTAGCTGCACCTAAGTTTGGGTCAGCCCTGTTCCGAATAAGTGCCGGTTTATACCTGTAACACTGAGCAGATGTGGTACAATGGCACATCTCCCTTCTTGCTGCCGGTACAAACACACGCTGGAAAAGGATAACAGCCTGTATCTGGGAAAATGCAACATGCTGAAAAGTCATCAGTTAGGTTTTTAATATTATCATTCTTACTTAAAACTGCCTCGAAAGGCGTGGAAGATATTACACGTTGCTTTACTTGATAGATGGGAAAATAATCCAACTTTTATTTTTTTGTACTCATCTCCTGTGTGTAACCTTCAAGTAGTGCTCATAGTTGGAGAAAGAAGAATGATAGCGATTCAAAGAAGTCTTATTTTAATTTTTTTTTTTTTTTTTTTTTTAATCTTGGGCCTAAGATACATTTGTTCTAAAGTTTTGAAGTGTTCATCTTCTTCTATTTTCTTCAGAGACGCTCACAGTAAAGAAGGTAATAATCAGATACTTCTAATAGTTGAGCTGTAGTACTCTATGGAGTATTAAATGGAAATTAAGAGAATTGACACAGAAGCCAGCTTCAAATGATAATGTTTTTAACCCCCAGTCTGGCATTTGTTGTTGAATTTCATTTTAAAAGGACGCTCTGCTCAGCTTAGTCTCAATTTTAGTAGAGATTTATTTTTAGGATTAAAGATTAGAACAATGGGAAGCAATTGCAGCTTGTACACTTATAATCTTACTGAGAGTCAACTTAAAAGTATTTAATACAGCTATTTAAGTGTCCTCTTGTCATTTGTTTTATGCCAGTTAGTTGTAATTTCTTTCTGTACCACGGACTGTTACAAACATTGTAAAAAATGCCTATTATCTTTATGTATAATTCATTCTCATGAACAAATTAGATTTTTCTTCCATGAGTGAACTATAATATGAAATTTAATGTTCTGACCTTTCTTATGCTGGGTTGCTGAAAACAGTATCATTTAGCTTTTCTGAAAGCCCAAGCATATTTTTGTTGTTGGTTTAATGCATTGTTTTATATTGTTGCTTTTAATTGCAGAGAAAAATAACATTACACATGTAGTTTTCACACTACTTCTTAATATATGCAGGCTGTAACGTTCTTGCAGTGTAAAACAAAAAACTCTATTTTTTTCCCTGGGAGCTCTGATGGCCAGCATTCTCGTTAATGACAGTCATTTCTCTGGCATGAAGATGTTTTCATTTGTATTTACTTTTCAGTACAGGGCAATTATGCTGCTCTGTGTTGTGCACTCCTCGTAGCTTCTATCTCAAAAGAACTGCAGTGCTTGGAACAGGACTGCAGTTTGAAGCAGGTGTTGTGTTTTACTGTTATGCAAAATAACACTAAAATATAATTGTAAAGGAAATTCAGGAAACAGCTGCAAACTTGGCTGGTAACCACTACATTATGTGAGCAGTTGTTGCAGCATCTTACATCGCATCTAGCACAGCAAAGATTTGCTTCAGCAAAGCTCACCGGTGCTCACTTTTGCTGCTGAAACCTTGTTCTCATGAGAGAGGTCCACGAGGTCTCACAGGGGAAGACCAGACCATAACTACAGTTACAATGCTGTACCATCCCTAGTGCCAGTTTTTTAATTGGTGCTTCATGTTATAGTTTAATCTTATTTTTTTTTTAATATACCTTTTTCCTTCCAATGCTAAAGAAGATGAAGGATAGAACCCAGTTACTGGAATGAAGGTTGCAGAATGCCTTAACCCAACTAACATATGGAAGCCTACATAGGCCTGAGGTGGTGAAATAGTAAAATAAATGGCCTATAGCGGGCCATCTGCCATTTGCAGAGCGTTTTCATCATGCTTCATGCCAAACTGGAAATTAGTCTTTGTATTAAAAATATATTTTGAATACAAATCAAAGATTTCAAATGCTTAATGTTACACATGGCAAACACATTTCTATCTGGGAGCTAGAGAAGCCCAGGAAAACTGCACTGGAAAAATATTGCTTAGGTTGATGCTTAGGGCTCAAATCATTCTCTTCTCTTTCCCATCTCTTTGTCTTCCCAGTAAACGCTGAATTACTTCTGTAAAATACACTCCAGATACGAAAAGTCCACTCTTGCATGTGGCAGCTAAAGGGAAGTATTAGTGGGTTCCCAGTGTGGAGATTCCATGCAAGTCCTTGCAGCTAGCACAGCGTGTCCCAGCTGAGGATCTGCCTCATAAGCGGGGCTCTTAAAGAGTTGCTCATCTTGAAAGTATTCTTGGAACATCAGCTGATCAATTTTCACAGAGTCCCTCTGAAAGGAAGGCAGCTGAGGTATCCTCCGTTTATTGACTGAAGAAATCGAAGCTCAGATTTTGCACAAGGAGCTCAGCAGAGCGTGTTTGGGAGGTTTCTGGATACTGGGTTATGCTAATATTACAGCACACATCCAGTCCTAACGCTAAATGTGCTTAAGAGCACTCTGAAGAAGCGAAAGACAGGGATGTAGAGAGAGGGAAGAGCCTTTTTCTTTCATCTTATGCAGAAATATTTATGTGTGAAATCACGCTTAAGTCAGATAAATCACTGCTGTCTGGTAACAGTGAATCCAAACCCGTTTCAGTGCTAGTGAGCTATAATATGGATGTTTTGTTAATATTGCCTAGATACTCGCCTTTCTCCGGGCACAAACGCTTTGATTCAAAGGTGTTTGGGTGTACCTTTTGCTATCCAATTGTAACATATTCTTTACATCAGGTTCTTGTATGTCTCTCAGTTGTTAGTGTTCTAAAGCTACAGCAGCGCCTTGAAAACAAGTGTGCATATTTGTGGAAAGTCATTTGTCCTTCAGGAAGCTGGGTCCACTTGTGAGTTTTCATGGCTGCAATTAACACAAGATGTTATTTAAAATAAAGCATATGAAATTGGGAGTATTTAGCTGGAGCTTTCAACACAGATATTTTATTCCCCCCTTCCCCCACACCCTGAAGATAAAGCCTTACTTTAAGCATTCATCCTTTGGATGTGTCTAATGATGATGGAGTTGGATGATGAGGTAATTAAAAAAAAAGTGAATAGTAATGCGTAGAGAGGGGTGATGGGTACATCATGAATATAGAAAAAGATCTCAAATCTGAATGGAAATCAGGAGAGCGTAGAGTAATAGGTGTGTGTGTGTTTACATCTCATGGCTCATTGCAGCATGTGCTGCTTTCTCTCCTGGCAGAGGTCACGGAGTTGATGCGGAGCTGTTGGGAATCGGGAGCTGCCCGGACCACAATGCCCTACCCTGCCCCTGGCCTTGGGAAGTTGTGAGCTTCTCATGTCCATAAGGAGGAAGGATGGCTCATGGAATTCCTTCACAAGGCAAAGTTACCATAACGGTGGATGAGTACAGCTCCAACCCAACGCAGGCGTTCACACACTACAACATCAACCAGAGCCGGTTCCAGCCTCCACACGTGCATATGTGAGTATTCCCGACCTGTGCCTGCTGTGTGCCTGCTGTGTGCCTGCCTGTGCCCGGGACAGGGGACTGCTGCTCACGGAGCGGGCTGAAAGCTGGGAAATGTGCTTAGCTATCCACGGGAGCTGAAGTACAGCATGGTTATCGGGTCTCACCCGGGGTGTCTGGAGCTGGGAGCCGAGCTCCATCCCCTCCTGGAGCGGGCTGAAAGCTGGGAAATGTGCTTAGCTATCCACGGGAGCTGAAGTACAGCATGGTTATCGGGTCTCACCCGGCGTGTGTGGGGTTGGAAGCCGAGCTCCATCCCCTCCTGGAGCTGCCTGTGCCCCGGGCTCCGTGCCCCCTCCTGGGTGGAGCTCGGCCCGTGTTCTCAAGCTTGTCACTTTACTGATCTGGCTTTAACTCGCCTGAGGGACCCGTTGCTTTCAGATTTAAGCTCCTTTCCCCCAGCGCTTGCACTCAGGAGTGAAATAGGCCTAATTGGGACTAATTGTCCCCCATCAGTGAATCCTTTGTCCTCCTGGTTGCGAGTGGAATGTGGAATGCAGGTTCCACTCGCAACCTGCCGCACAAAGGGGCCGGGGGCTGTCCCGGAGCTCCTCCGAGGAGCTGCACATCCTCTCCCTAAAGCACAGCCCTGGCACAAACCAGCGAATCCATGGCAAGTGGGAAGCTGGAGGTTCCTTCTCCCACCTTGTTATTCCTGGGCATTGTGGCACCCGGGGTCGGCACCTGGGCACAATGGGCTGCTCGCTCGGCAAAGAGCTAAGTACCAGCTTCAACTCTGAATTCCCTTCCCATTGTTTAGTGGGGTTTGATCTTTATCTGTTATTTATGTGAAGGTTCTTTTCTTGGAGCATTAGTGGACTGAAAAGCACGTGAAACTAAAACAAAGCCGACATCTCTTGACATCCTGCGAGCCATTGTTAGGCAGGGTTTTGAACCATGTCCCACTACTGAATTTGATAAGGATTTTGCATAATAAGGGGGGAAAGTTGTATGGTACTTCATTGCATTTTTGTTATGTAGAAGCCTGCCGGAAGAGTCACAATGTAGGAGTTCAGCACCTTCTAATAGGATTTCATGTGGTTACAATGTTCCTAAAGGCAACTTTAGGAAGGATGCTGAAGAGTGTCGTGCATTCGCTTTTTAAGGTGGAAAAACTTCCCATTAATTACATTTGATTTATTACTACCATGATGACGTAATTTTGATTTTGGAAACATTTCCATGTCTTGATTCAGATCTTTTCAGACCTTTTGTTAGCAAATTTCTGTTGCATGTTTTGCACTCCCGGCTGTGCTTCTGACTGACATTAAGTACAAATCTTCTTTAGAGAATGAATTCAAAGCAAACAAAAGAAAATCAGAAAGCAGTTTTAAAGAACCCCTTCCTATTGACACTAACTTCAGTGGGAGCTGAATTTAGGACTAAGCGTGGTGTTCAACACTGTGGAAATTGTTCGTGCTTTGTTTAAAAATCTCACAAACGTACAGGCCCTCCTGTAAGGGATAGTGTATCTCTTAAATGATACTAATTTGATGGGTGTCTTGAAAGATACTCGTTTGGAAAAGCTGTGTAGTTGAAATAAGAACTGAAACTTCAAAGTACGGTACAAAGTGTAAGTATTTTAAATATTTTTAAACTTAAATACTGCAGGTTTCTTAAAATCAGAAGTTTGGTTTCAGCGGAGGGTGTGGCCACAAAAGGGAGATCAAAATTTTGGAAAATTGGAAATGAATTAGTGTCAGATTCACAGTGGGAGCAGAGACAGCAATGCTCAAGTGCAGGAGGTGAGTTCAGGTATAGGCCTGGATAGCAAATGACAGATTTTAGAAAACCTGTTGAGAAAGAAAAGAGGAGATTCTACCAGGTGGGCAGAGGGAAGCAAGGAAGTGAAGATAGGAGTGTGGTGTAGAGCAGTAGGATTGTTCCTGGGGAGGGGAGACTGGATTATGTGGTGGCTTCAGATGGAGTCTTTACTTGTCTTCTTAATGTATTGTAATGGAAGTTTTGTGTGATTATCTGAGAGAGGTTGTCATCAAGTGAGAAATCTTAACAGAAAATTGGTAAAAGCAGTATGAACAAAGAAACCATCATCTTTTTACCCTGTTGTATCTCTGTTAGTGCCACGTTGCTGCAGCCACCAGGGTTGATTGGATTTGGTTTTTCAGTCTGCTTTTCTTTGTTGCTGTCTTTTAAAGTAATGTGTGTGTGTGGTTTGTTGGTTTTGTTTTGTTTGGGTTTGTTTTGTTGGTTTTTTTTTTCCTAAGAGGGAGTTTGAAGAGGCTTTATTCTCTAGTGAAAAATTTATTTTAAAAATCATGGGATGAAGAGAAATGAGTAAAGCAACATGGGAGCTGAGTTTTGTGACATGTATGTGAATAGCAGGGCAATCTATTGCTGCAGGACCCTGCTGCCTGCCATAAATCAGTAGCTGGGTGCAGTTTAAGGACAGTGTTCTTTGCTAAAGGAAATATTGCTTTTAGAAGTAATTTCTTTATGGATATGCATCTTCGTGTCCAAAGGTGAGAACTGGTTTTCTTGGCCTACGCTGAGCCATTTACAAGGTCCTGTATCCTTTGGGCCTGACTCTGATTTCACACAGAGTGGAGGAATGGAATATCACCAGCATAAATCTGGTGAGTGAGGCACTACTGGCAGTACTTTGCCTGTTCACGTGTCCTGGACTTTTTCTCACACTTTTATTTTGTGCCTTCATGTAGTTCCATCAGCTGAGATTGAGTTCTCTTATCTTTATATGTATTTTTATACCAGCACTCCTTAGTCAATTTGTTTAAGCTACTGTCAGGTAAACAACAGTGTATTTTACAGCTCCCTTTGTTTGGGCTGGCAGCAACAGCAGTTTTGTCAGTATAACTTTTGAATCAGTTTGTCCAGCCATTTTATTTCATTTAATTTCATTTTATTTTATTTCATTTCTCTGCAAATTAATGTTTAAACAGGTATTCTAAGGCAATTTTTGCTGCACAGTTGTTTTGCATAAAGGGATGTAATTTTAAATATTATTTTGTCATCTTGAAGCGATGCTTCCACCCACAGGTTTCATTTACTTTCTGTTATAAAGTGTTTGTATTTGAATGCTTTGTCCAATTAATGTTTATTTTCAGTTAGTTTTAATTAACTGCATCATCTTAGTTCCCTGCTTTCAAGGGCAGCTGCAAAATAATAAATAACAACTATAATATGCTTCCCTGTGCTTTATGTTGATTATTATTCTTTTGAAACTTTTCATACTTTCAGGTTTTTTTGGTCAAGAATTGTGACTTACAGAGTGAAGTGCTTCTTGCTCCTTAGGTGTATGCATGTGTGTTTGAGGGGTTTTTTGGGGGGTTTTGATTGTTTGTTTCTTTGTTTGTTTGTTTTTAAACCAAACCAGCTTTTAAGCCTGTTTATACTTTTGAAATATTCTGTAGGAGGCTGCTAGCAGTGGTACCAGCAATACTAGTGAGCAGCAGTAGGATGCAGCCTGGGGACAAATTCAAATGAAAAACTGCTTCCTTAGGTTTTAACCAGACAGAAAAATCTTTCTGTTTAGGTTCAACACCCCATTTACTTGCAGGGGGAAAAAAAAGGGAAGGGTGAAATAAACCTTGTGCATGTGTTATGGAAAATGCCCCTTTGGACAGGCTGAGGATGAGGGAGTTTTGTGAAGATAGAATTGCTGTAGTCTGAGCTGCTGCAGCCTGAGCCTTTTCGAGGAGTTCTTTAGGTTTCCTCTGGTCTCACCAGCACGGCTTGGTGGTTTATTTTTAGGGTAGTTTGAATACATGTTAACACTTTGTTATGGTTTAAATTCAATAGTAGGGGAGTAAGAAAGATAGAGGTTTCTGTGCCAGAGCAAAAGTCCTCTAAATAAGTTTATTCATGCCTGGAGATACATTTTTCAATCTGTAACTATATAATTTTACTGCCTTTTCTGTACTGGAGAAATCCCCCATGTGAATATTCTTATTTTAAAACAAAGAGTATAAGCAGAGTTTTATATTGGTAGAAGTATATGTCTGGTTGAATAAAGTACGTGAATGTCTGTGTGTAAATGTGTATATATAATAATAATAATAAAAACACAGCTATTTGTTCATAGAAGAAAAAACTTTCAACTGTGATGAAATCTTACATTGTTAGAACTCAGAGATCTTATTAGACTAGTAACCTAGATGGAGAGGATCTTTTTGTTTTGTTTTGTTTTGTTTGTTTTTTCGTTTTTGGGGTTTTTTTTCCTTCTTTTTCTTTTTTTTTCTTTTCCTTGGGGAAACCATCCTGCATTTAATGGGCTTTATAAACTCCCACTGAGGTTAGTGGGAACTCATGCATTTGATTTGCAGTATTCTCGATTTTTGTTTCATGCAAGGTGTGTGATATTTAGCAGGAGGGGTAAAGAGTTGGCATTAGCAAAATATGAACTCATTTGACAATTACAGGAAAGTGGATCTGGTACCTGTAATATTATTGGGGGAGAGTAAGAGATTCAGTCCTACACCAGCCAGCAGTACTGGTGTGTTTCAGGCTGTTTCAGCTGGTCCTGGTGTGGCAGTGTTGTAGTTTGGCTGGAAGTTGTTGCTCTGGCCATTAATAACACTTTTTTACAAAAGCATCCACAGCTTATGACCATACAAGTTTCTTTTCACCACTTATTTTTCCAAAACAAACAAACAAACAAAGCGGTACTGTGAGACAATCAAGTGGCATTTAAGCTGTGTTAGTGAAAACAGGAATACTGGGAATGAGGGCACCTATTCTGCCACAGGGATTTTTCCTGGGGCCGTGGCTCACCGAGCTTCCCTCGGTGCAGCTTCAGTCTCCTGTCCCTGGCTGCTCCCTCAGGATGTGCAGCATTTCCCAGCCTGGCGTGTGCAGGAAAACAAACCTGCTTTTCTTTCAGCCAGGAGCCTTTCAGGCCCTGCCCCGAGGCTGCTGAGCTCTCCCTGCAGCCCTGGTGAGGATTCCCTGAATCCAGGGAGGGACACAGAGGAGGTGAG